GGTAGCATAGTGCGCATAGTGTATATGTATCATAGGGAGGGAAATATCATAAATGCGCATCTAATAATAAGAAAGTAATGACATATTTAATTTTTTTTAGAAATGTTTATTTATAAGTAAAGTCTAAAAAATATATCTAAAACCTTATGCATAGCACACTATGCGTAACACACTATGCGCGGCACATCTCTACTCAAATTCATAACGAATAAAACAAATAATTCAATCAAACTTATTCGGACCATTAAAGGTGAGATATTATAATAACAATAGTAAATAACAGTAATAATAATAGTGATAATAACCATAGTAGTAGTGATAATAATACCGGCTAAGCCGAACAACTCTTAGCCGGCCAAGAACTTAAATAAATCCCAGTTGATGAAAACCCTTTTCAAATGGTACTAAGCTTGCCGATATTATTATTAATACTACTATCGTTATTATTATTGCTATTTTTATTATAATATCTCGCCTTTAATGGTTCGAATTATTTGTTAATTTGTTATGAATTTGAGCATTGAAAGTTTTATTCGAATAAACGAATAAAACGAATAATTCGAATAGAACTAATAATTCAAAAAGAGCGAATAATTCGAATAATTCGAATAAAACGAATAAAATGAATAGTTCCAATAAAACGAATAATTCCAATAGAACGAATAAAACGAATAATAATAATTCGAATTAAAATAAGAATTTATATTACGAATAGAAACTCTATGACTTTCATCCTGCTATGATGTATTGTATTTCCTTTTTGAGAAAATGTAATTTTTTTTGTCATTCTAAGTAATGTAGGTGGACTCATCTCAACTAAATGTCTATGCCATTGAATTCTGCACTAAATTTCGGACGTAAAAATGAATGTCAAGAGAAATTTTTTTAGCCGACTAAGCCGATAAGTTTCTTAGCCGATTAACATCACTTGGGAGAATATGCAAAGTGATAATATACATGACTCAAATAAATCAAGAAAATGCCATGTGAGATAGTAATAGTAAAATTGAGGTCCAACTTGGATCCCGCAATCAATCATTTTTATTATGACATCATCAATGATGCATTTTGGCATAGTAATTAATATTTAGTCATTCATTATTAATTATTCTATTTATTATATTTTATTGGGCAAAATCATGTAAAAAGTCATGTTATTTGTAATGCTTCAAGAAGTATAAATACACTTGAAATTTCCCCTTCAATTTTTTAATAATATACATTTGATAATAAAAACTGTAATCAGTTAATAAAGCTGGTATGATTGATTCATGATATTTCTGATGATTAATGGTTTGGCCAACCTTTAATTATTAGTTAGGAACCCTTTTGATTTTACTGTATTGCTTGTAGTGATGCCTCAAGTAGTATATTTCTATTTTTTTTAGAGCATACATATCTGGAAAGAAAACTGAGACACTTGACCAGAACTTGCCTGCAATAATAGTACATGTGCAGCTGGAAAGAAAACCTTGCACTTGACCAGAACTAGGGTTTCTATTTGAATAAAACGAATAATTCAAAATAAAACAAATAATTTGAATAAGAATTTGCATTACAAATTGCAAATAGAAACTCTAGCAGAAACAAGGTGAACTTTGAATTTTATTTATTGTGAGATATGCACCTCACTGATTATTACTAATTATTTTTGTTGATATAACAAAAAATTGAACAAGATATTCAGGAAATAGATTTGTCAAAAGTCATTATTTTAGTGTGCAAATTCAACATTCAAATTTCAAATGAAAAAAATTCCAAATTGTGTAAAGTTACCTTTGTATAATATTATTATTAAAAATAAATAATAAATAATAAAATTTAACTTAATCAGATAATTCATCTGGTATATTTAATTCATCTGGTATAGTTAATTCAATCTGTTTAGAATCTATAAAAATAGCATCAATTTGTTTAGAATCTACAAAAAATTTATTACAAAGAGTGGGATATTGTTAATTTTAAAATTTAAAATTAATAAAAATAATGATTGAATGTTAATAATTACCATCATTATTACCAATAATTGTTACTTTATTGGAATTCACAGGTTGGGGAAGGTTTGTAAAATTTAATAATCTACTAGTATAAACTGCATTTGGATGAATTACTGCAGTAATTGTTGAAGGATCAAATTCTATTTCATCCATTTTATCAAACTCTTTTCTAATTGATTTATATTCATCACCTGTACCATAATGTTGAAATGAACCATACCAATAATTAATAATCTTCCAAATTTCTTTAGCAATTGGACGTCTATCTGGATCAGCATCCATGCATCTGTAAGCTAGTTCAATATAAAATTTTGGTGTATTGATTGAAAATTCTGGTCTTACACCTTCACATATTTTCATTGCAAGATATTCATCATGTGCCAAATTATTAAATGGTTGTTGGCCAGTTGATACTACAGACATCAGAACTCCAAAACTGTATATATCTGATGCCATTGTATATGGTTTCTTCTTTAAAACTTCTGGTGCAATATATGATAGTACTCCACATATATCATTTTTGTTTGATGATGTTTGACTAGCTGGGAATGATAATCCTAAGTATGCAATCCATGAATTATTATAAAATTGAAGAATATTACCACTATGAAGATCATGATGAATAACTTCTTTTTCATGAATATCTTTTAAACCTTTAATAATATAATAAAGAATCGTAATTTTGTTTTTCCATTTTAAATTTTTAAACTCTGTAGTTAAATAATTTTGAAGACTTCCATTTTTTATATAATCCATCACAAATATGTGTTCTTTTGTAATTGGATCTTGTGTTAATCCATAAACATGAATTATATTAGCTTTATCCTGAAGTTTTGTATAATTTTGGAACTAAATAATAAATAATAATCAATAATATTTAAAGAATTTTGAAATAAATAAAAAAATAAAATAAATTACCTTGTTAAAAAATTCATCAGAAATATTCTGAGAATCATGTAATTGTTTTAGTGCTACAGTCATATCCTTGCTAATTCTTTTGTTATTTTCATAATCTATACTTTTATAACCATTTAACCAAGTAGCTTTGGATACAGTTGCAAATCCACCTTCACCTATCTTTTCAATATTTGTTAAATCATCATAAGAAATCCATTGAAGATAATAATAATCATCATATCTTGTTGCTTTAAGTTGTGTGCTTTTAATCAATTCATCTAATGTTTCATTGCCACTAGTCCATCCTTCAGTTAATAGCTTTGGATCACATGATTGACACCATGAATATTTAGTATTATATTTATTGCAGGTTGGACATTCCCCATATCTCTCTTTTCTTTTCTTTGAATATTCATCATTTTGAAGACTTCCATCTTCCATATAATGCATTACAGATATATATTCTTTTGTAATTGGATCTTGTGTCAATCCATAAATATAAACTTTATCATGAAACTTTGTATAATTTTTAAACTAAAATAACAAATAATATATTTAATTACAACAATAATAATAATCATGTAACAATCTTTAATCTTGATTGATCAGTAAAATAATTCTAGTCGAAATTAGGCAATTAATTCATACCATATTTGGTAATGTAGAAAAATTCGTTTTGTTTAAATTCGCTATTACTAATTTGGCAATCGGGATTATTGC